GCATTTTTATGTCCTTTAAAGGACATGAAACCATAAAATGTGGAAAATGAATTTAGAGACTTATGTGCCTAGAGTTGATGTGTTTTAACTTACCCTTACCTGAAGCAAATTAATTGTGGAGGGTGACTGCTTATACAAAAAACAGATTTAAAAACAGCCCTGTCATACTGTGTCTGCAGGCTCATCTAGAAGACCTAAGTGGAGAAGAGTATATAGTATTTGGAATGGTCCTCTTCCTGTGGGAACATGTACCGGCATGGTCAGTGGTCCTCTTTTTCCGGGCGCAGAGATTAAACCAGAATTTGGTATGATATCATAATATTCCCCAATACCTGTTCCCCTTATTTTTTAAAAAAAATAATGGAACATTTATATCGATTTTCTGTTTTTCTGGCAAAGTTTAAAACTAAAAAGCATTCTAGATCTCAGCCTCCTTTCTTAGTTGAAAAGTAAATCTTCATATGCTATCTAACACTTTGTTTACAGGCACCTGCTGGCATGATAAATAGTCACAATTATAGTTCCAGAGCTTACTTTTTCGACAATCCAAGACGATACGATAGTGATGATGACTTGCCAAGACTGGGAAGTTCAAGAGAAGGAAGGTAGATATACTGAATTAGTACTGAACAGATTGAAAAGAACAAACCTAAGCTTTACCCCAAACACGAGAAAGGTAGATTTGGTGCCATATGAGAGTAAACTGGATCTTAGAGTACCCGTAGTGGGAACTGTACTATAAAGAACTATCATCTGACTCTAAGGCCATATATTACCTTTATTTGAGAAACGCCTTTAGGCGTAAAATGGTATGCCATCTCCTTTCAGGATTCCATGTTGGTTCAAAGCTGGCAGGGGTTGATGAGCAGGGAAAGAATACAATTAGAGTAATTATGTTTCCTTATCTATAGTGCTATTCAAAACCCAGCAAGAAACTCCAGATGAAACTCTCAGGAAGCTTAGGTGCCATAGGAAATCTTGTGTCCTTCTTATTCTAAAACCATTGCAGCTCTACACCTTCAGCTGTGTAGCAGGGCAAAGTGAAAGCCTAAATGCATACCTCCATATGCACTGAGCTTGATACAGCATTTTCTGTAATTCTCACTTCATCTGGACAAGTTCCTTAACCCTTTTTTACAGCCTGTTCTTCATCTGTAAAACAGTGGTAATAGAATTTATCTAATAGGATTGTTGTGAAGACTAAATAGGGTATGTGCTTGTGTATACATTATCATAAATATACACACACACAAACATGTCTTAGCATAGAGCCTAGTCCTTGATAAGTACTATATTATTATCTGATCATCAAGTTCTAATTCTGATGTATTTATTCTTTTGTAATATGTGATATAACATCAAGGATATTAGATAAAAGTCATTACATTTTATAGAAAACTATTATTTGGCAAAGAATATATTTCAATAGATGTGACACTAACTGTATTATAAAAGTCACTGAACGCTAAAAATGCCAACGTGACCTATATCCTGATCACAATCCTATGGGGTTTTTTTGCCTTTTGTTGCTGCAGTTTATCGAATTCGCAAGGTTTGGGCTGGTATGGCACCATGACCGGGTGTGGCGGCAACAGTTACACAGTCTCTCCCCACCTGAATGGACCTGTGACAGATAGTGCTCCTTTGCTCTTTACTTGTAGCAACTTAGATATGAGCAATCACCATAGCTTGTATGTAACACCGCAGAACTGACAGCCCTACCACGCTGGGATCCCTCCATTGTTTTTCATGAACGTGTATATTTGATGTGTTTAAATTCCACCTACATAAACATTCCATTATCTGTTGCAACTGAAAACAAAGTCTGGAAATGTGGCTGTGTTCAGCGAGGACACACTTGTTACTTTCGACTTCTTCATAGCAAAGCGAAGTTAAATGGGAAGTTTGGAGTGGGAGAAAAGAGGGATTTTAGATCTTAAGACACTTGATGGCTGCAAACATCCTGACTTTGGAAGAGCAAATGCATCTTTGCATATTTGCACTTTTATCTTTGTTCTGAAAGAGTACACTGCAGTCCCCAAAGTCACCCTTCAGTGCTCAAACTGGGATATTATATTGTACACCTAATCAGGAGGCAACTTTCCTATGAAAAATCAAAGCCTGTATATTCAGTGGTGTATTCTATGTAGAATTCTTACCCAATAAAAATTTTACAGTGTGAACAGTGCACGGGATTAAGGCATAACAATGTATCATTCTTTTTTAAAATCTGAAATACATGTAATCATTGAAGATAGTTCTTTTAAGCATGATTGTAAAATACCAACTGAAATTATTCAATCATTTTTTTTAAACGACCATAGTAATCCTTTACAGTGATGACCAGCAGTGTTCTTTAGAAAGCCACAGCCATTTCTTCAAGAAGAAAGTATACCAGTGAAAATTATGTGGCTATTTTGAGTAGAATTGGTCAAGTGATTATTCTGTATGATTAAGATACCTGTAGTAGTTTAAGCATGATTCTTCAAGAAAGCAATAGTGATTTTTGCATAGGGAGATTTTGGTAGAAACTTCTTGGGACTAAACAAGTTTACAGATGCATTTAAGAATTATTCATAAAATGTACAATTCTAAGTTAAAACACGAATACATTTTCAAAAGCATTGGATTTAACTGAACAAGATATAGCTGATTGTACCCATTGAATCAGAATTGTCCTCAGGTAAATTAAGTCATGATACATTATTGCAGTAAACCCAAGTGCAATACTTTATAAGACATTTAATTCCTCCTTTAGTTTTCCCAGTTTTATATCTTGTAAATGGGCAAAGCCAGATTAAATTTAATTCAAATTAATTCCAGCACTAAATAAGCAAACTGACGTAAGGTACTAACTAGGTAAGTATAAAACCACCACTTAACAATTTTGAAATACTTCTAGAATTATATTAAAACTGTCTTAAATGTCCTATCCCAAATCTAAAATATATATATATATATATATATATATATATATATATATATATATATATGGCTAAGGTAATAAAGGATTTTAAAATGCACTTTCTACCAGTATCTATATGGAAAGAAGTAGATGCTGAATACCTCAAGATGCCAAGGAACCAGGCAACACTGGGAAGTCGTCACAACATGCTTAAAGACGACTAGCTACATAAAATTGTCTGCTGATCTATTTCTTCAGAACTGAACTCATACAATTGTCCTTCTCTGTCTTCTACTTTGATTAGACAAAGTTTTTATTTCTACTCTTAAAATACCTTCCAATGAAAAAAATACCATTCAATGTTTTAATAATTGCTTATTTAATAATAACTTCACAAAAGTGTAACAGAAACAAATTAAATTTTTAATACTTTTGATCTTTTGAGAGGCTGGTACACAGCTAAAGAAATTCCTTCTTTTTATCATACAAAATGACTTTGAACTCAATCAGAAGCATACACCTATAAATGTTACTTTGGATTTGTTTATAAGTTCTCTCATTGTAACCAAATTATTTAAAAATGTATAGTATAGAAGTTAACCTTGGTATTTACATGACAACGTAACATGCACTTAACTGAGTATGTTTTGGGGACTTCAGTTATTAGATTTCTTTTCAGAATGCCAACTATTTATTTTCCTAATAATGTTGGGTATCTACCTAGAACTATCTGAAAAGATGTGTTATCTCTGTGAATCCTTGGGGTTCAAAGTAAATAAGGTAAATTTTTTCTAAGGCCTCCCTAGGTAGTGTTCCTATTTGACCAGATAAGCAAAAATTATTTTAAAAAACTCCAGGTAAAATATCTTGGTTCTTTCAGCTGCATTAGTTGATTCTTCCAAATTTCAGATTTGTGTATTTCTTCTTATCCCTGACTAGGGTACCTGAATTCTTGCATTTGTCTCCTTATACACATCTCCCACAATACATCACCAAAGACAAAGAAAGATAAGCTTCTGGCCCAATATTTGCTTAAAAATTCCAAAGCACTAGGAGCACTTTAAGTTTGGTCTCGAAAGAAGGAGTTTTTGATGAAATCAAAGGGCTACCGATTCCCTGCTCATCCTGCACTGAAGCACATGACAAAAGACCTTCTTTTTCGGTTAATTAGAATGGTGAATTTCACTGCTTAAGTGTATAATTCTACAGTGATTAGCAGTACTTGTTTTTATCATTTCATTTGGGTGGTCATTAATTTTGAAACTCTTACCACTCATTATAGCTGGTTGTAGTTTTATGAAAGATGTAATTTATAGCTAAAGTGGCTTTTTTATGCATAGCTGCCTTTTTTATTGTTTAACAGTGTTTCTCAGCTATACAATCAGTTTCAAACTGGTTGTAAAAGTATAGCTGTGGCCAATGAATGTATTTATTTGTTGTTTCACTAAATGGTAACAAAACACTACTGTTAAAAATAAAAGTGTGCTTTTATTTGGTCGTCTGGTTTGCTTAAATGTCCCCATTGACAACACTGAGTTTCTAGCATACAAGGATAAGAACCCTAGTGCTACCAAAGAAAAGAGAAAAATATCAGGAATTACAAATGACATTTTGTTAGTGAGCTTGTATTTACATCTGAACATCATGCCCCTTAATATTATACACTGGTTTGATGTGAACTGGCATATACTTTAGTTTAAAACACCAGTATGATTTTGATAGTACATTTATTCAAACATTAAGCTAAGAAAAATCTTTGTATGAAATAACTTATAACACCTCTCTCTTTCTTGAATTTTAAACAGGAATAAATTTAGCTAGCCCGTAATCTTGGGCAGTTATTCTTTGATTATTCAAGAAATTCTTCAGTGATATTGCTTTTCCCCTGAAAAAATAGTTCTTACCATTTTTTCCATAAGGGACTCCCTTCATAACTTGCCAAAACCACACTAAATTTTTAATGCAACTTCAGGAGCTTTACTGACCTCCCCACCAAAGTCCACAAATCCTTGGGAATCTATTGACTCTTGTCGTAAAGAATATTTGGAGTGAAGGTATGACCTCTAGTACAATAAAACTGTCATTTGAAAAGCAATTTATTCAACCAACATTTATTAAGTGTTCATATGCCAAAAATTATGCTATGGAGATGCAACAGTGGATAAAGTTCCTTTTCCTGCCCTTAAGGAGCTCACATTCTAGTAAAGGAGGCTTAAAAGAAAATACAGTACAGTAAGCGGCACAATAGAGGTAGGTTGTAGTAACAGTGGTGACATTAAAGAGATTAGATACTCCTTGGGTGGAGCAAGGGAGATTTCACAGAGGCGGGCTTTATGCTGGCCTGCAAGGAGAAATGGGAATTTTCCAGGTAGGGAAGGATGGCTAGGAGCACATGCACCAAGATGTGGTGGTGACCTGACCCTTGGCACATTTGAAGAATTAAGTGTTTTACCAAAGCATGGGGACTGGGGGCAGGACTGGGAGGACCTTGTTCAAGTGCTTCTAGAAAGACCACTGTGGCAGCATTGTGGGGTGCACGAGAGGAGACAGGCAGGTGAGTGTAGTACTCTAGATAAGAGCAAAGAAAAGGGAAAGACAGTAATGCATCAGAGATATGGAGATCAACTCCACAGCGCTTACACACTGACCGGATAGGGGAAGACGCAGAGGAGTGAGCCTACAGAATTTAGATGATGATGGTTCTGAAATTAACCAGAGTAAGGAACACAGGCATAAAAATAGAGCTGGGGGGAGAATGGTTCTTTTAAGACACACAGGTATCTGTGGGACAACAGTAAAGACATGTGGTAAACAGATGGATTGAGAAGTCTGGACTAATGGTAAGGACTTAGACATCATTGAATCGGAATTACCCAAGAGTGAGAAGTGGTGGTGAATTAGAGCAAGAATAAAATGTGAGGAACAACATTTAAGGCATAAATGAGAAAAGGCTAAAAAAGGACACATCCAGGAGCCCAGGAGTGAAATATAAGGAACCCGGGGCGGGGGGGTGGGGGGGAGAGATTTTTAAAGAAGGGGCTGCCAAACAGTATCAAATGCAGGAAAAAAGTGAAATAAGAAATGGCTTGTGAACTGAACTATGAATTTAGAATTGGAATTTTTGACTTCAAAAGAAGAAATGGTTAGGAACTACAGAGCCAAAAGGAAGATTTTTGGTTAAGGAGCAAGTGGGAGGTGACAAAGTGATGATAGGAATATTCTTTCAAAAAGACTGACTTAAAAAAAGGGCGAGGGCATGACGTGAGAGTTAGAGAAGCACATAGACAAAATTGCCATTTAAACCCTTCCACCACATGTTCGGAGCACTACAAATGTCCTTTAAACTTTGCACAGGGTGCTCACGTCAGAGTCTGAGTCTCCAAGAATATTGACTTAATTAATAGGTAAATGTCTTTCTTTTCCTGCCTCATTCAAATGAGGGGGGAAGAGAGAAAATATGACACATATTGTTAAACGTATTTCTGTGGTTTTTCATTTAAGATGTACCAAATACATATTCATACATTCATTCAACAAATATTTATTGGCTACCCACCATGTGCTTACTGTGTACTCAGCAGTACACCAGGCATTAGGGACACAGAAAAGTATACAGCAGTATAAAATGATATTTCTAAACCATTATATAAATAAACCCTGCTTTATTAATAATGTAACATCTCAACATGGTACAACTTGCTAGTATAAAGAGGGCACATCATTTTGAGGTATAGTTTCTTTTACAGTTTTTCTTTCACAATTACCATGTGATCAAAATTCTTAAACGCCTTCAAATATTTTTATCATTAAAGAACTGCCACTAATGAAACCCTCCCAAAATTAGTTTATTTTTAGGGAGAAGAAGGAAATGAACCTCATGTACAAAAACCAAAAATTATATGCCCTATGACTATACAAATCAAGCATCAAAAGGACAACAAACTCAAAAAGAACTTTACACCAGAACTCAAAATGATTCCTTATTCTAAGGCTTACAGTATTATAGTTCCACACCCTTTTTTTCCTGAAAAAATCATTTTAAAAAATTACCCAGTATTACACACCGAAGTATTTAGGGTTCAAAGGGCATGATGCCTGGAACTGACTTTCGAATGATTTAGGAAAAATAGTATACATGTGTATAGAGAGAAAAAGCATGAAAGATAAAGCAAGTATGAACAATTAGTGAATCTGGGTAAAGAGTTCTTTTGTACTATCCTGGAAACTTTTCTATAAATTTGAAATTATATAAAAATAAAAAGTTTCTCCCAAATTTCTCCCAAATTCAACATTAGGTAAAGTATTATGAGAATAAATATATAAATCTATTCAACTTCTCACAATGTTTCGAAATCCCCTTTGAGTTGTCATTGTATTTTCTACACACTAAAACAAGTCAATCTAAACAGCAATATAATTCTCAAAGTGACTTATTTCATAGCAATGTACTTTTGGGTTGCCAGATAAAACACAGGACTCCCAGTTAAATTTGAATTTTAAACAAGAAATTTTATGTATAAGTATGTCCCAAATATTGCATGCAACACACTTATATTAAAAAATTATTGTTTATCTGAAATTCAAATTTCACTGGGCATTCTCTATTTTTGTTTACTATATCTGGTAACTGTAAATGTATTGAAAACTTTTAGGTTGTTAATTATGGATTATTCATGAGCCTCCCTTAGCATTTTCCTATTAAATGCTCAACACACTGACCATAGCTTTATTTATATTACATCTTCTCACACAAAATTCTTGAGAGACTTACATTTACTTAGTTTTAACACATATGAATTTGATAGTCCTGATTTTATTCAATATTAAACTTTAAAATTTGTACCACATCATCAAAGCATTACTTTTACTCACAATATTATACATAAACTTAACACAATTAAAAAGAAATTGTTTACTTAAAACAATATAATTCTCCTTTTACAAAAGCAGCTTTATATAAAATGTTTGGCTTAAGAATGTCATTGCTCTTATGCCTTTGAATGAAATTCCACTCTTTGGCCTTCATAGTTCAGAAACAGGCACAATTCAACTTGTTTTCTGTTTTCTTTAATGAATATTTTGTAACAAATTCCTGAAGTTTTCTAATTCTTTCACACTTGTGGAAATTCTGTAATGAAAAAAAAATTTCACTCAGAAGATATTTTAGATACTTCTCTGTTATTCAACACTGCATTTTTAGAGCACAGAAAAATTTTCTAGTAATTTATTTCAATACATTTAAAGATGTATAAACCATTTAGTCAATTTTGATGTACTTGAGTTCTTAATTCGACATGGTAAAACCAAGATAATACTGCCCTGAAATTATTTATTTTTAAGTATTCAAAACTTAGTATTAAAGTTTTAAAATACACAATTAGAAACTACATAAATATTAAAATACTTAGGTAATTTTTTTTTCTTTTCTTTTTTTTTTTTTAAGTAGGCTCCACACCCAGTGTGGAGCCCAACACAGGGCTTGAACTCATGAACCTAGGATCAGGATCTGAGCTGAAATCAAGAATCGGACACTTAACCAACTGAGCCACCCAGGTGCCCCAAAATACTTAGGTATTTAAAGTATTCATAAGTATATTCACAGGCTTAGTATTCAAAGTACATAAATATAAATTACATAAGCATTAAAATATGTATTTTAAATATGCATAAGTTGGAGTGCCTGGATGGCTTGGTCAGATAAGCATCTGACTCAGTTTCAACTCAGGTCATGATGTCAGGGACATGAGACCAAGCCCTGCGTAGGGCTCCCGCTCAGCATGGAACCTTCTTGAGATTCTCTCTCCCTCTTCCTCTCCCCCTGCTCACGCATGCTCTCTCACTCTAAAATATATAAATAAATAAAATCTTTAAATATGTATAAGTATACGAATACTGAAAACTAATCAATATTCCACATTTAGTAAATATACAAAGAATCAAAGCTTTTGGACTATAAAAAGTAAAAATAGTAAATGTGTGACCAAATTGTTTTCACTACTTTTTATAAAAAGTTTGTTCATTATTTTAAGTGTATTTTAGTTCTGCTTTCCACCATGAAAAAAGTAGCTGAATTCTCAATGAACTGTATCCATCAAGTTTCTGTGTACTAGAGAATAATTTTGAAGGTCAGTTATTTCAAACCCAAAATATTAAATCATAATTTTTTTAAAGTGAAGAAATGTAGTCCTTAGAAAATGTAGCTTGTATAAATCTCTGCATTCTTTACATATGAAAGGCCAAAAAGAAATGCATCTATACCTAAATTTTGTAATGTTAAGCTCCTTATTTCAAGCTTATCTTCCAATCATTTTCATGAAAATTTATTTTTAAAGAATTATTAATCTTTTTACAGGATGGTGAAAAAGAAATTTTATATGTATGGCTTATATTACACAACATGATTTTTTCAGGACCTTCAAAAAATATTTGGGCAGCACAAGAACTACTTTTAAATAATTAGAAAAAAATGTACAAATTCAGTAAGATGAATATGGAAGTCTAATCAGTAATCATAATAATAAAAATCAATAGATGAAAGTAAAGAATATCACCTAATGATTATGTGTGTGCACATACTTCAAGTATTTCATAAGATCACAGAATTCGGTAGTGAGATAATTTCACTAAAAAGGATATTCCTTACCCACTTTTAGACTTACTTGGCTAACAGAAATAATTTCAGTACACTCAAACTCACCTTCCAAATGCGTTAAATAATGATACTATTTCTTGTCGGGTTAGATGGAATTCATAGCTGGGCCCGCTTTCTGGCATATTTGCTATCAGTTTCTCAGAAAACAAAATCTTCAGAGCAGTACCCAAACCCTGAATCTATTGCAGAAATAAGAAAAAAATAAAAGTCAGAAAATTCTTTGCGCAGAGAATAAATGAAAAATAAGATTGAACTTAGATTTGCTTACCTGAAGCTTTCCCCATAGTCGACATTTAAAACAACCAACACAATCCATGATTCTTGAAATATTTCTAAAATGCAGTCGAAAGTCCTCCTAAAAACAATTTAACGAGATTTTTATTAAGATGTAGCATCTAGTCAAACACTAAAGTATTTTCTGAGTGCCTTCTACGTGCCTAGCCCTGTGCAAGGGATCCTAGAGGGCACCGAAAAAGAGGAAGAGAATTCAAATCCACGTTCAATGAGCACCTCCTGCATACCAGAATCTACATATACAACTTCATTTCATCCTCATCACAAATCCAAAAGTAGATTTATTATAATCTATACCTAATGAATTAAAAACACAAGACTCAGAGGTTAGGTTGCCTAAATTCCCATACGTAGTAAACAGCAAACTTAAACCCCAAGCCTGCCTGACTCAAAAACTAAACTCTCTGCAAATATACACAAAAGTAATGGAGCTGAAGTGTCCTGTTTTATGTGATGTTTTTGTTGCTGTTGTTGTTGTTGTTTTATGTGATTATTAACTACATGTGAACATGAGAGGAAGGGGAAAGGGGGAGGCTGGCATCATTTACCAAAAAACAAAAAAAAAAAGAAAAGAAAGAGAAAGAAGGACAGAGGGGGTGGGATAAAGGGAGGGAGAAATTTCAAAATATGGCTTCATATTAAAGTCCTGCCTTCTGGTATTAATTAGGTAAAACAATCAGATATTTTATTAATATTATTTTATTATAATATTTTTAATTTTTAAATATATTTATAATTAATTAATGTTATCATACCAAAATATGCAGAATATAGTGAACAGCCAATCATTTTTTTTTTTACCAATCTTGAGAAAGAAACCATTACAAGTACCATTAAGCCCTCTATGTATCCCTCCAAAGTCCTATATCCTACTTTCTATAATCTGAATTTGGTGTTTATCGTTCCTTTTTTTTTGTTCCCTTTTTAAATACTTTTAATACATATGTATATATCTATGAACCCTAAGGTATTATGTTGTTTATAATTGGACAAAATGAATCCAACTCATCCAAAAGTAGTATATGTCCTTCAGGGATAAGTAAAAAAGAAGGTAAGTCAAGGACACAACCTTCTTTTACTCCAATGGAAATTATTAATCGATCCACCAAGTGACTCCCTCTGTCCTGGACTTACATTGGAACCCCAAGGTTACAGTATTTTAAGCAGGAAATTAGACATTCATTCATTCATTCATTCAAGAGAGAGCACGCAAGCAGGGGTCGGGGAAGGAGCAGAGGGAGAGGGAGGGGGAAAGAAACTCAAGGAGACTGTGCTGAGAGTGGAACCCCATGCAAGCTCCATCCCATGACCCTGAGATCATGACCTGAGCTAAAACCAACAGTCAAAAGTCCAACATCTGAATGAACCACCCAGGTGCCCCTTGACATACTTTATGATTGAAAATCCATTATACCAATCAGTCTACAATTTGAGGAGCATGTAGCATTTCTCTCTTTTTTTAATGTGATAAACCACATATAGGGCTCAACCAGAAAAGAACACGACCAAAGATCTAAAAGTGGGAATTAATCAGCAAAAACTGGTACCCACTATTCAAAGTAGACCTCAATTCATTTTGGGGATAGTTCTTCCCCAGATGCTTTATTCAGCTTCAGAATCTGAAACCGCTGTAATATATAAAAGATTTTTAATGGATCCCAGATTTTGTATCTTTATTAATACAAATTTTGTATTAACTTAATATAAACCCCATATTATTAATATTATTACCATATGTTAACAATATTCTACATCTTCTGTTTCTGTACCTTTTGGACTGAGTTCAGTAAGAGGTAATTTGAATTTTAAACCAACTTTTAAAAAATATTTACCCAGTAATATTACTCTAAGTAAATTTTGGTGATTTAAGGCTTCCTTTAAACTTGTGTTTCGACCTTGAATTAAAGAAAAAAAAAATCACACTTTTAACAATAATAACAGCATAGTAAAATTACTCTAAAGTAGATGTTCCCATCCTATGAGGTGCTAACGTCTGGAGGATTTAATAGTTATCATAAGGGCTTAAAATCCATATGTAGATAAGCACTGTATACAGACAGAATAGATAAGTCATGGGTATGCACTATAAATTTCCAAATGAATATAAATATTATGATCAATAAAACACAACTTTTATTTAAAAAGTGTTACTAAATGCATAGTGGCCTTTTGGCAATTACATTTTCACAATCAATATATACTAAAAATACTACTGTCATGGGGAGAGGCCTTGAAAGTTTTTGACTTTAGAGACTCTCACACTTGTAAAGGTTGGAAGCTTCTGTTCTAAAAGACTATGCTTGCTTTTGTAGACATTGTCTAAGTTCAGTATTTGGATATGTTTGTTGATTCAAACACTTGAATGTGGCAGCTCTTGAGTAAATCTTTGTCTGGCATACACAGAGAGTAAGCATGGTTGCTTACAGTAGCCAAAATAACACTGCAAAATTAAAACCAAGTACAGGTGCGTAAGCTAACGTAATATGCAGAACCAAATTAATAAGCTAGAAGTTTACAAGATCAGAACAAGAGAAAATATCTGTGACCTCCACAGGTAACAATGTCCAATAACCTAAATACATCCCAAAGTTATCTCAGATTAGAAAAATTTATGATCCTTAAAATAACCAGAACCTAAATCACTTATACATTCTTGTTTAGGTATACAGCTTTTAGGTCAACACTTAAAATTACAGTCAGGGGCGCCTAGGTGGCTCAGTTGGTTAAGCGACTGCCTTCGGCTCAGGTCATGATCCTGGAGTCCCTGGATTGAGTCCCACATCAGGCTCCCTGCTCGGCAGGGAGTCTGCTTCTCCCTCTGACCCTCCCCCATCTCATGTGCTCTCTCTCTCTCATTCTCTCTCATAGATAAAATCTTTAAAAAAAAAATTACAGTCAGTGGGTAGAATGATCAAACATGCTGTGGTTATCTACTGTAATTTACATTCAGGGAAACCAACTGACCAAAAAACAATTCTCACCCAATTCTTAAATGTTTTAGAAGCCTTCAAGTGAGCACCTACTCTATCTTGAACACTAAACAATTCTTTCATACCATCTTCTATTTCTAACCATATATGATAGAGTATAAAGCAGACAAGATGAGATTTTTAAAATGAGCTTATATACACCTGAAACTAGTGTAACAATCTATGTTAATTATAAAAAAATAAAATTCGGGTGGGAGGAGCAAGATGGCAGAGGAGTAGAAGAACTAAATTTCATCTAGTCCCAGGAATTCAGCTGGATAGGGATCAAACAATTCTGAACACCTACGAACTCAACAGGAGATCGAAGAGAAGAATAACAACAACTCTCTGAACAGAAAAGCGACCACTTTCTGGAAGGTAGGACATGCGGAGAAGTGAATCCGAGGAGATATTCGGGAGGATAGATGGCGGGGGAGGGGGCATCCGTCAGCCGCTTCTGGCAAGTGATAGAGCCGTGGAACACAAAATCGGAACTTTTAAGAAGTCGGCTCCGCTGAGGGACAACACTCCGGTGGCTAAGCAGGGGGTGGAACCCTCGTGGGACAGTGTGGTCTCAGGACCCTTGGGGTCCCAGAAAGACCGGGGGTGCCTGAGTGCAGCAGAGCTCCCAGGTATCAGAGCAGGGAAGCCGGCTGCAGAGACAGAGCCCAGGCGCAGGCTCTCAGCTCGGGGTCGCTATAAACCATGATCCAGGGCACAGTCAGGCCACTGCTCCTCCAGCAGGGACCCAACAAGTGGCAGATCTGGGGAGACTCACCTTCTTCCCCCAGGAGGAGAGGCGTGGGAGCGCACCGCAGGGATCTGCTGGGTTTGGAGGCTCCACACGGGGTCGTGTGCCAGAGATAGAAATGCTCGGTCACAGGCCGGGTGAGCACAGAGTGCGGCCAGAGACCGGGGAGATGGGAGTGATTGACTTCTTTTCCCTGGGGGCACACTGAGGAGGGGGGGCCCCAAGTTCTCGGCTCCTCGGGGGCGGAGACTGGGAGGCCGCCATTTTCACTCTCGTCCTCCAAAGCTGTACTGAAAGCTTGCAGGCAACAAAAGTTCCCGAGAGCAAACCCCAGCAGATTACTTAGCCCGGACCGGCAAGGGCGGGGCAATTCCACCTCCAGCAAAGACATCTGGGAATCATGGCAACAGGCCCCTCCCCCAGAAGATCAGCAAGAACAGCCAGCCAAGACCAAGTTTACCGATCAATGAGAACAGCAGAACTCCAGCGCTAGGGGAATACTGCACATAGAATCCATGGCTTTTTTACCATGATTCTTTAGTCTTTCAAAGTTAATTTTTTAAATTTTCTTTCTCTATTTTTTTTTGAGTTTTTCCCTTTTTCAACCAACAACTTATCAATCTCTTTTTTAAAAATCTCTTTTATTTTTCATTTTTAGAGTCATATTCTATCCCTTCATAGTAGTTAACCTTATTTTGGTATATATACATAAGTTGTTCTCTCTTTAAAATTTTGGGATACAGTTGCTTCTAACAAACAAAATATACCCTAAATCTCTAGTGTATGGCTTTGTTCTAGTCTCCTGCCTGATCACATTCTCTCCCTTTTTGTTTCTTTAATTTCTCTTCTTTCTTTTTTCAACCA